ATCGATGAGGCTCGTAGGGTACAGCTTCGTCAGGCGAGCCAGAGTTCCCGCCCCCCCGCACCAGTGCCCACTGGTCCATATCATTTTGAGGGCCAACCAGGTAGTTCGCGACCCCACGGAGTCCTCCCGTACGGCGATCATGGATTTTATTATCCTGGCCAGGCGAGCAGGACGATGCCCCCGGCACCAGGACCGTACGATCAGCCGGGATGTGCTTTTCCCCGCTACGCAGGGAAGTCGTTACCCCCCCGCGCACGCGTACCATTACCTTATGGTCAGCAGGGGTATGCTGATGATGAGTCGTACGGCGAGAGGGAGCCGGGTCCAGAGGACTATGACTCGGACGACTCTTCAGATGATCAGGACCACGCACAGCCTACGGGTCCTAACCACCCTCGTCCTACTGTACAGCCAGTTCGTCCGGTACAGCCGGTTCTACAGCATGTTCGTCCGGTACATGCTGTTCGTCCCACACAGTCTGCTCCTCAACGACAGGCTGGGGGGCGTTTTGGCCCATCTGCATCCTCATCAGGTAAATAATTTATTTATTTATTGTTGTTTAACATAAATTATTTTCACTTAATCATAACAAATTATCGGTACTGTTAGAAAAGTATTATCGGTCTGCTCCTCAACTACAGTATAATTATTTTGTAATAGGGTAAGTTGAATAAATTGTAATTAATTATAAATTCAAAAAATAATATTAATAATTATAAATTATATATGCTTATAATAATAACGTAAAATGTAAAATGTAACGTAACTAATAAAATATGTTTTATTAAATATATTTTATTTAATGCATCTGCCAGCAAGTCAATATATACAGATATGTTGTATTTTAATGCAGGTACTAGCAAACGAGCTAGGACCGATGATGATGCACCTTGGATCGTTAGAGGCCCAGTGATTACAAAACTCCAAAATATGGCAGCCGGATACTAACTCGTTTCACATGCCTTTTGGTGAGATGAGCATCATGCTGCACGACGTCCGGGCCATTTTGGGCGTTCCAGTGGAGAGAGTCGTGGTCGCTGAGGACCCGGATTCGGACGCCTGCCATAGGCTCTGCATGTCGATACTTTCGGTCACCAAGGGCGAACTCATGAGTTCGTTTTGGCAGCGTGGTTCGGTGTCCGAAGCCGCCATTTCGGGGGCATTTAGGGGGAAACGCCGGCCGGCTAGGGATGAGGCGGGTGCCTGGATGTGGGTGATGCTGGCTACCACTTTGTTCGTCGACAAGAGTGGTAGTAGAGTGACCCCCAAGCTCCTGCACGAGGTGCTCGACGACTTGGATTTGATTGGGGGTTACTCATGGGGATCGGCTACGCTAGCATACATGTACAGACAGCTAGGTATTGCCAGCCGAGGGGACTCTGCCCAGATGTCGGGCTGCTTGACTCTTCTGCAGTCCTGGATATATGAGTATTTCCCTGATTTCCGACCCCGGGGGCGTCTACCCATCGGCCCTGACTGTCTCGCACGATCACACTCGTGGAGCGTAGGGAATGCGCCACGGTCAGACGATCGGCTCACAGCCATCCGTCGGCGCCTCGACAGACTCACTGCCTCCGATGTACGTGAAGTTATTTTATTTAAATTTAGGTACCCGTTATTTAAAATAACATAATTATTTTTATAAATGCTCTTATGCAATTGTGAACAGGTGCAATGGTTGCCATACGGCAGCTCCAGCCCAGATGCGATAGAGCCGAGGACTCTTTATAGCGGATTGATTCGATACCGCGATGTCGTCGAGCCGTACTTGCCTGCGCGGTGTCTGCATCAGCTGGGGTATGTCCAGACTGTCCCTCCCCCTATATACCCGCCAATCAGTGCAGTACGTGCTTGGGAGTCTAGGAACTACAAGGTTGAGCATTCTGAGGCTGGTGCAGTAGGTGCCTGGACCCAGTTCCCGATGTCTGGGACGGTCAACACCGGTATGTTGACCCACACCACACAGGATCGCGGGGAGGCGACTGAGGATTACCAGCAGTGGTACAGTCGGGTTTCCCATCCGACTCTCATTGGCGAGGAGCTGCTGGACGAGAACGAGGTCCCAACGCGTGCCAATACCGCATATGTAAGTTGGTTACTAAATTTTAATTAATGTTAATTCATTACAATAATTTTTTTTTAATAAATTTTAGTCTTATCTTTTTATTCTTTCATTTTTTTAGTGGGTGGACCGTCTTTTGGGCATTACATCGACCTTGCAGCAGATTGTTCCAGACTGTCCGGAGGCGGCGGAAGTCGAAGAACAGCTGGCTAAGTTTAAGTTGGATTACGACAATGCCCAATAATGATGTAATGAATGTTTTTTTTTTATTATTATTGTAAAACATTAAGTTGAATGATTTTTTTTTTTTTTTTTTGCTAAACTTAAGTTGAACTGATTCATTTATTTATTTTTATTTGCTAAACTTAAGTTGAATGAGAAGCGTCATACCATAACTGAATAATATCGTTCTTTTATTCAAGAACGATTTGTTTGAACAGTAAACCACAATCGCAACCTAGACTCGTACTGATCCTCCCAACCCACAACCGATTGATCTCGGTACTGGAACCACATGAAATGAATAGGCGGTAATGGACAATCATCAGTAAAATCTAAACGAATGTAGTGTTCTACGGTACCAAGATGGCAAATGGCAATCTCACGACATGGTCCTCTAGCCGATGATCGTACAGTGAGAGGCAACACTATGGTGCTGAATAAGTCGTGCTGCCCACCTTGTGGACCAGAGCTCAAATGAATGACAACCACATTAAATAGGGTTGCAACGGCATAGAGGTCCTGCGGAACTTCGAACCAGTGAGCCCGTCCACAAGGGCCGCTGCCCCACCTTACGCAACGGAGTCCGGCCTCGATATCTCTAAAATAGATGTACTCGTACAATTCAGGGTGGTTGTCGACCTCCTTCGCAATGTTTTTCTCTTGCATCTGCCCAGTACTTCTGATGACCATACATGTGACTCGCGATGACCCGAAATCCGCAGTTACCATCCGCATCCACATTCAAGTAACTCACTATGTAGTCCAACATATGCCAGGGGATACATTGCCACATTGAAAATCCAAATATATTTGTCGGTCTAAACTCTGCAATAAATATCATAATAATTTCACGTCACAATTTATATAATCATATAAATACTTTAATTAACGCTCAACCTTATTTAAAAAAAATGTATGACCTTCATCCCCTTGTGACTGTTGAGAAGACGAACTTGTCCGTCCACGCGAAGAATTGGTCGTACGGCTCGATTTCCGACCTCGCGATTTATCGTTGTACTCAAAAGCAGATGGTTTACGCTTAGTTGAATTAGTTTTCTTGGGAGACCTCGCGGGTTATCCTTAACCTCAGGTTCCGCATAATCCTGTTGGTCTGGGTAAAGATGACTGTACATGAACTGATTCACGTACCGCATCGTCGCGGGATCGCGGGTTTCAACCTCAGTCACAAGCGTCTGAAAGAACGCCGCATCTGACCATGCAGCGTTGCTCGTCTGACTCGAATGACCAGTCCCTACAAGTATACGATAAAAAAGTCAATGAATTAAAATAAATAATGTATTTTAATACAAAATTATAAATAAAACATTAATTTTAAATTACCTGGCTCTAATATCTCGAGCGTTCTCCAGAACTGGTGAATCATTCCGAGATCAATCGGAACGTCGAAATCAACTGCGTTACGGAGGAGACAGGCACAAGGAAGTCTATGAGTGAGCTGCAATACACAACCGCAACTAGTGTAAACATCGGTGTCCAACTTGTGCATCCTCGTAAGCTCAGCGTCCAATAAACTCAGACAGTAATGCGAGACCCTCAGTATCACGCTCGCGAAACGGATTCCCTTATACTGTGTATTCTTCTTAGATCTCGAGGCCTCAAGCGCCGTCCTGATAATACGTTACATAACGTTAAATTATAATTAATTAATGCAGTAATATAATAACGCATTTAAAAATTGCAGTACGTACTTGATTTCAGTCACTTGATTACCGATATGCTTATTAATCTTCTGCCAAACCGTATCGAGCGCGCCGGTGGACGTCTGAAGCCACTCCTTCAACGCAGAGTGGGCAATCTCCACCCTACAGGAAGTTGTGTTTCCAAAATGTGTCACTCGGTTGGTCCAAGCCTTCACAAACTTCTCGTGGTGCACTAACCATGTGCCCTCCACATACCGTATCACCTCTGGATTGTTCGAATATTTTGCGCGCAGCTCGGCAACGGCATCGTTGTAGTCATCGAACGTGCTGGCCTCTGCAATCGCCTTCCACGTACTGTGCGTGAAAATCTCCGAGAATTTTTTATTCTTCCCAAATAGTTGGTAGGTTTTGGCTTCCACATCCTTGTTGATGTGCCACGTGCAGAGTAAGTGGGCTGATTCAGGAAAATGCCTCTGAATAGGAGTGAGTAAACCCAACTCTCTGTCACTGACAACAACATAAGGATATACGCTTTGGCCTATCAGTAGTCTCAACTTCTCTAGAACCCAGTCGTAACTGGTCTCTTTCTCGTCCCTGATGAGGGCATATGCAATTAGGAAGTTCTGGTTGCACGGCGTCATCCCAATCATCTCGACCAACGGCATCTTGTACCTGTGCAAATGTGACCAAGAAGACAAAAAATATAAGCACATAAAACTTAACTTAATCAAACACACTATTTAAGATTCATACTAATAAAGTATTTATAAAGTAACATACCTGTTGGTTTTATACGTGGAATCTATACCGACATACCAGTGATATGTCAGGAATAGATTAATCGACGCAGGATGGGCCATGAATATATGCGTCAGCACTTTCGTGTTCGGATCGGATTCTACATAAACTGTATACTCACTGCTCACGGCCAAATGCTATAAGCTGAAAAGGAACGTCTCTACTGTCGGAACTCTCTCTCCGCAGCTTATCTCTAAAGTTATATACCTGTCACCGATTAGCGTTAATTATAATGATATTTATAATTTAAAACAAAAAATTTATTATATTAATAAACAAAAAAGTATATTAATGCGAATAATTTGATAAAAAAATTATTAACTATCACAATAATAATACATTAGTAAATATAATAAAATTTATTAATTATTACAATAACTTTTACATATAAAAAATTACTAATTATCATAATTAACTTAAAAAAATTAATTAAAACATATATTACAAGATATAAATATATATACCTGCCGCACATGAACGTTGTCTCCCGGATTCTTTTCCTTCAGCGCGGCCATAATTTTTTTCGGGGCCACCTGAGCGTCCGTCATGTCACGAACAATTTTCTTAGTTGAAGCGCTGAGACCGCTCAACTGGCTATGACCCTCAGGATACACAGCAAATGCATGGTTATGGTAGCCTTTCTCTTCATTGCTACATCTACAGATCCTCCAGTATGGAGCGCCGGACACCTTTTTTACTTTGATCTCAAAATTGCAGCCGCACTTATTCGTTTTTGTCCTTCTAGAATTTCCGCCTGTGCCTCTGTACCGTTCGCCTCTATGGCACTTCAAAAGTCTGACCGTTTTCTTTTTGTGGCTCGAAATAATTAATAGGAAACCATTCAGCATTGCCTGATGTTTTGCAGCTTCAATAGCCTCCTGAGCAGTATTATATAATGTACATGTATCGAAACGCAGACTGTAATCAACACCATCTCCTCCAAAATCTTCCCATGACTCCTGCTATATAGTACAATATTTATATTTTTAGAACATGTTAAATTAAGATAATTAATTCTACCATGTAACATAATAATTTGTAACTCGTAACATGATATTATCTAACGTTCAATTAATATAATTTGTAACTCCTAACACGATCACGATAATATCTAACGTCCAATTATATTATAATAAACATGTAACACAATAATTTGTAACTCTTAACACGATACTATCTAACGTCAATTTATAACATAACTAAAACTAATATGTAATATAACAATTTCTAACTCGTAACACGATAATATCTAAACGTCCAATTTATATTATAATCAACATGTAACATAATAATTTGTAACTCCTAACACGATAAACGTCCAATTTATAGCATAATCAAGTTTAAAATGTAACATAATAATTTATAACATAATAATATAGTCCAATTTATAACATAACTATTTCGAATAAATAACATAATAATTTTTTTTAAGAAAAAAAAGATTACGGCCGGCCGGCCGAACCGGACGGACCGGTTCCGACCGGCCATCGTTTTCGGACGGCTTAAAAACCGTCCGGTTCCGGCGACCGGACGGGCTAAAAGCCGTCCGGAACCGGCGGCCGAACACCTATTTTTTCGTACCTCCGAATTTGACGACATTTCGCCGTACACTTTCTTCTGAGATGTTTAGAAAAAATGAGAAGGGCAAAATTGTCCAAGGGGACGGTGACTAGTAAAATGGGGGCGGTTTAAACGACAGAGTTTTCATGTGGCCCTCATCCCATTTCACTTGCGAATGCTTCCACACCAACTTAGCTCTTTTACATCTAAAAAATAAGTGCTCTATAGTCTCCTCTTCTTCCCCGCACATTTGGCATATAACATCCACCGACACTCCTTTTTTCTCCAAGTTGCAGCTAACTGGCAAAATTCCTGAAAAACTTTTCCAAACAAAGTGTTTCAATTTCCTTTTAACTCGCATTTGCCAGCTCCTATCTCTCACATTTTTGTCCAGTTCAGCTGATCGGCTGCCTTCGGCTGCATCTATTTTAATCATTTTTTCCTTCATCAAATGAGAATATGCACTGGCCACTGTGTAATTGCCTTTGGAATCCAATCTCCATCTCCATCTATCAAGCATCCTAGGTTGCAGATTTTTAATTGCAAGAATTGCCCGGCTTTCTCTGTCATTGAACGTCCTTTTCACCAGCTCCTCATTCCATTGTGTACCCTGCTCGTTCATTAATTCATTCACCCAGATGATATTGAAACTAGCCCTGTCGACAGGTTTCGAGCTCTGGTGTCCCAGCTGGGGAACCCAACTGTGGTCCTCAATTTTCGTTTGGGAGCCGCTCCGTATTTCTCAGAACAACCCTTTAGCCAGTATGGGGATTACCTCCACCCAACTATTCCAAAGCCACGAGGCCGAGGCTTTTTTCTGTGCTTCCAATATTGAGTTATTTGGAAAATACCTAACTTTCAAAAGTTGGCTCACTAGCAGATGCGGTTGTGTGGAAATGCGCCAGAGTTGCTTCAAAATCATCGCCTCATTGAATCTCTGCAGATCCTGAAACCCGAGTCCGCCGTAACACTTTGGTTGAGCCATATTTTCCCAGCTTCTCCAGTGGATTCCTCTGGTATTGCCGCAATCCTTACTCCACCAAATTGAGCTGACAGTCGGCAAATCTCTTGGCATACTCCGTTGGGTATTTTGAAACAGGCCATAGTGAACACCGGTAATGCATTTATAATTGCCTTCATAATAACTTCTTTCCCCGCCAGAGAGAGAACTTTATTTTTCCAACTACACAGCCTAATTGACAGATTCGATCAAGTATTGAAAAACTTCATTTTTCGACCTACCAATACCTAATGGTAAGCCTAGGTATCGTGTGGAAGAATGAATTTTGATCCCTCGCAACAACTCACATATGTTCTGCTGATCATTGAGGCCGGTATTTTTGCTAAAAAATATAGACGACTTGGCAAGATTAACTGCCTGACCCGTGAACCGATTGTAAACGCGCAAAATATCCAACAGAACTCTAGCCTGCATTGCTTCTGCCTTGCAAAATACGAGGGAGTCATCCGCAAAGAGGATGTGCGACACCATTGGTCCTCCTCTGCTAATTTTGAGACATCTGAATCGTCCCTGGTCGAGAGCCACTTTTATTAAGGATGATAGAACTTCGGATACCAGCAAGAACAGGTATGGTGAGATGGGGTCGCCTTGCCTCAGTCCCCGGGAAGGTTGGAGATATCCCACCGCTGACCCGTTTAACAAAAAGGCAAACGACGATGAGGTTATCCCTACGAGGATCCATTCAATGAACACCGTGGCAAAACCCATCTTCTGCATAATAGCCTTAACGCAACCCCACTCCACATGGTCGTACGCTTTAAGCATATCCAGCTTCAACACCATGAAACAGTGCTTACCCGATCTGTGTCTGTTTAGGTAATGCACAATCTCCTGAGCATATCCAGCTTCAACGCCATGAAACAGTGCTTACCCGACCTGATTCTGCCACCCTTCTTGTCCTCCCCACATCGGATATCGTTCCAGTCACCCATAATGACCCAATCTTCTCCCCACGACTCTCTATCCGCAATCAAGGACGCCCATTGTCTTTCCCTTTCACTTCTCTCTGTGCTCATGTACACAAAGATCCACCACTCCAAGTTATTTGTTTTCTTCGAATGCACTTGCACTTGAATACAGAACCCATTCCCTTTAATTTGCACTATCTCCACCTCATCATTCCAGCATAAAAGCTAGCCTCCTTTCCAACCCACAGGTTCTACAAAATACTATCTGTCCCCAAAACCAAGTCTCTTACATACTTTATCTGTAAATTTTTTTTGTTTTTTAACTTCTGATAGGAAAACAAAATTTGGGTGATGAGCACTTATGGAGCAGTTTTCCCTTTATCCATCCTCGCCTCTTCCTCAATCATTAGAGTTTGTTTATGCATTGCTGGCCATTTTCTGCAGGGGTAACTATGACTCTATTAATGTAGCAAAAGGTCTCATTGACATGCATAATAATTAATGAGATTCCTACTATTCATGTTTTGTAAATAAAATTTTATATGTTATGTGTGTGTAATATTTAAAATCATAAGTTAAGTAATGAGCATATCATATTTTATAAATTTTATTAATAGTAAAAATGAAAGGTACAAATATAAACTATTACCTTACATATCTTTATATCAATTGCAATAATATAATTTTTGCAATCTTTGTTCATTATAAACATTTGATTAGATACAACAATATTGAAATTATTATTATATCAATTGTGTACCAAATTTTAAAGATTTGGTTATATCATGAAAAATAATTAACTAATGTTAATAAAAAAACTTGCTTAATGAGTTAAAATAGAAAAAAAAAATAGTTTGAAAAAAAGTTTTAAATTAAAATATCATTTAATGTGACTTTATGATTTGTTAGTAATAGTTGTTATATAATAAAAAATAAAAAATATAAATACTTAATTAATACAAAAGTAACATCTTTTAGAGGAAAAACAAAATATTTTTATTAAGCTTTGCTAGAAATTATATTATATAGATTATTTTGAGCTCATTTTGAAGATATCATCAATCTGGCACACCAGGACATAGTTTTCGTAAATAATCAACGGCACACCATACAATCTACATTACTTCCCAACTCACCAACACTATTAATTTAGTAGAATAAATCTAACTTTTTGGTGAATCAATGAAGTATCTAATGAATGCACGTGTTCGCTTATATTTCATGGATAAAAAGTACGAGTAATAACTGAGATCTCATTTATTTACTTGGAAAGTGTAAAATAAATTAATTCTTTGTGGCCCGTTCAATACAATCTTAGTGTACTAGTATAATTCATTAGTTAAATCAATTAATTCAAAAGTTACACTACAACCATTCACGATTGTTAGTTCAATTCTATCTAGATTGTGAAGCATTCTTTATATTTACAAAGAATTGGTAATATGATATTTTATTCAACACGATGAACCATATTAAATTATTAATCTACAACGTAAAATAATAGAACATACACGTGTTTGCGAAAGCATGATTCTCATTGAAATGAAAATAGCTTCGTAACAAAGTCAAACTTTTAGTATACAAATCACTACTACTAATATTAACTAATTTTAAATTCACACTAAATTGTATATGAATGTTACATATTTATTAAAAATGATGTTGCAATTTTTTTCTAACTATTTATTTTAAAATAAATATTAACTTTCTGTTTGCTTCTCATGAAATAATATTTTTTTTTTATTCAAAAATCAAAATTAACTAATTGGTTTAATGGCCTATTAAACCCCTTAAAATTTCATAAACAATAAATTGAAATAAAATATAAACGATAAATTGAAATAAGTTTCCTCTACCAATAGTCTCCACAAGAACACGCACCATTTTCAAAATGATGAAACCTATTAGCATCCCTCACAATTATAGTCCTCTCAGTAATCCTACACATAAACTTAGTGAAATTGTGGCAGTCTAAACACACCCTCAAGTTCTTAATGATCCTTATCTCTTCACCTTCTTCAGACATCATAATCCCAAAAGCAATAGCCAATTTCTCACTATGAACACTCATCATCAGCTCCTTCTCTTCTTCCTCCACATCATGCAGTGACGTAACAGTCTCCGCAAGATAACCGGCATCTTTCATCTTCCCCATTAATTTTTCAAGCATATTGTAAATAGCTACAGAGTCGGGATGCGATTTATCACCCGACGTAAAGACATGTTGAAGTCCATTGATCTCGATCAGAGTGCAGCCAGGAGTCTTGCCAAGATTCTTTTTCTTCACCACTTGTCTAAGTAAAGCTGCGTGAGAATAATTATTGTTCGTGGAATAAATATTCGAGAGCAAGACACGATAACCAACGTTTTCAGGATCGAGTTCGAACAACTGATCAGATGCCAGCTGTGCCAAGCTGGCATTTTTGTGAGTCATGCAAGCGCCCAACAACGCGCCCCACTCAGCAGGGCCCGGTTTTTTGGGCATCTCGTTTATAAATTTTAGAGCATCTTCTAATTTTCCTGCCCTGCCAAAAATGTCCACCATGCACGTGTAGTGCTCTGAGCTTGGCTCGAACCCATGATCGTAAACCATAGCATCGAAAATTCTTTGACCTTCGGCCACCATCCCAGCATGGCTGCAAGCATATAGAATCGAGAGAAAAGTAACTCTAGTTGGGTTAACCCCAGAAAGCAGCATCTCATTATATAGCTTTAGTGCCTCACGGCCATGGCCATGAAGGCCGTACCCAGAAATCATAGCATTCCAAGTCACGATGTTTTTTTCCTCCATAATGTGAAATAAACTTTCGGCCTCGTTTATGCTGCCACATTTCATGTACATGTCGATTAAAGCAGTTGACACGTAGATATTCGGTTCGTAGCTCTGTTTTTTAATTAACTCGTGCACCCATTTTCCGAGACCTAAGGCGCCAAACTGGGCACATGCTGACAAGATACTCGTGATTGTGACGGGATTTGGTTGAATATCGAGCTTCTGCATTTTGTGAAAGAGAGATAGAGCCATTGCAGTCTGGCCATTCTGAGTGTAACCGGATATCATGGCATTCCATGAAGCCAAAGTTTTTTCTGATGACTCGTCAAATATCTCTCTAGCGAGGTCCAGCTCGTTAAGCCGACTATAGACGGTTGTCAATGCAGTTGAAACAGAGGGGTTAAGAAGAAACCCAGATTTCAAACAAAAGCTATGGATCGACTGAGTGAAATCCAAATGACCGAATGGATAAAACACGGGAATTAAACCGACCATTGTGCTTGAGCTTAGTTTGCGTCCTGACGAAAGTAATTCTCGAAATAGTTCGAGGGACATCGCATATTCGTTATTAGCAGAAAACCCAGAAATCATTGCATTATACGCGACCAAATCCGGGTTCCTAATCAAACTGAACAACAACCGAGCAGTAAAAATATCTCCACATTTTGAATACAGACAGACCAAACAAGTGAGCACATGGCCGTGATAATGACACCCGACCTTCACAGCCAAAGCCTGGACAGTCATCCCGGTTTTAATCTCCTGCAACTCGGCTAAAGCTGAAAGCACCACAGCCAATGTAGTCGAGTCAAACTGTGTCGTCCTCCCGACCATATCGTGGAAAACCCTAAGTGACTCATGGTAGCAGCAATTTTTCGCCAGCCCAGAAAGGATTGTGTTCCAAAGAACAGTATCTGGCTCGGGTATTCCATCAAACACCTTGTACGCATTACCAATCATTGAAAAACTCATGTACATGTCCACTAAAGCCGAGCCCACAAATAAATCCGACCCGAAACCGGAAACTACAGAGTGCCCATGAAGCAAAACCCCGATTTTCTCGGATAAGGGAGTCGGATAACCAGAAAAGGCCGAAAAAAGAAATGAATATGTGAAATTGTCCGGTCTGAAATTCGTTTTCCAGAGTAGATCCTCGTAGACAGACAAAGAATCGAAAGGGTTGCTTCTAAAGCCTTTGATGAGCACATTGTAGAGAAATAGATCGGGTGAGTTGATGCCGGAAAATAGGAGCTTGGCCTGATCGTTGGCTCTGAGGTGCAGGAGCTTCTGGATGAGCTTTGTAATGGTTTGGGTGTCGTTGACGAGGTTGTTATGGATGATTTGGGCGTGCGTTTGATTGAGGTGTGAGAGCGTAATCGCCTGCTTGATTAAGCCCAGGAAGAAGTTTCTGTCTCGTGGGAGAGCTATGGCTCTGCCAACCATTGAAGAATGTAAAACATTGAAATTAGACGCTTTACTGGTGAAGTCAAGTTTATGCCATTTCCCGCGGGAAACTTCATAATATATATATATATATATATATATATTTTTTTTTTTAAGAAACGTAACTATAAAATTTTAGACATATTTAATCAAAATGTTATAAGAAGATTGACTTGAGTAGACTGAAAAAAATAAACACAAAATTAAAGTAAATGCAAGTAATAATTATGTTCTCCTTATGATGAAATTGTCACGTAAAATACGCACAGTTAACAATAAATGTATTCCAGATTCAACGACTTTTAACTTTCAACGACTATATCACCGAAAGAAAAAATCCCCAATTAACAAAACCCTCGTTCGGCCGTGAACCCGCCTTCTCCAGCAGCGCCTCGTCGGGCCATCTCGGCGCCGGTCATCCTGGACTGTGCGGCCGGCTATTGAAGGCTCGCTGGACAGAAGGCTCCCTCTTACCGGGTGAAACGATGGATTCGCCCAATATGGTTTTCGCCTCCTAATAGGTTTTCATGGAGGGTATTGACCGGCGGTTCCCCGGCGGCGAATTTCCGACGAGTCTGCGATTAAGGGCTGTGGCTTCGATCGTCTCTTGTGGGATGGTCAGGCTGAGATCGGGCCATTCCGCTCCCCTTCTTTCTTTCGATTCCTCTGCTTTTGTGGTCTCATGGTTGCATTGGCGGATTCGGGGTCGGGTCTCGTGGCCTGAGCCTGGGTAGTCGGGGCTATAATGGTGGAGCTTGTTGTTGATCTCCGGTTGCGGGTCTCGGGTTGTCTACCTGGTCAGGGAAAGGTTTTATGTCTCGAGTCTAGTTAGGCGTTTATTCTGCAGTTTCTGGCTTCGTGACATGGACTGGGTATCTGTCTGTGTGGGTGGCTGCCTGTAGGTGTCGGCATAGTTTTTGTTCGACTTGGTTCAACTGCCGTGGGAAGGGCTTTTTTTTTGTTTTATTTTGTGTTATTTTTGTTGTTTGGTTTGTGTTGTAGGGTGTCCTTATTTGTTGTGTCTTTTTTTATTTTTGTTGTTGTGTTTTGATCTCCTTTTGGGAGTGCCTTTGTCTCCCACCTGGGGAGTGGCTTTGTTTTCTTTTTAGGAAAGTGTTGTGTGTAGTGTGTTTAGTCTAGTTTGTGTGGCTCGGGATTGATTCCCTCGTAGGAGCCTTTTTTTTCCTTTGCGTTTACTGTGTTAAATGCAAATGTGCTAAATATTGCCAGTGGGCAATCGATTATAATCTTTTGGAGGTTTTTATATNACTTCCATTATACAAGTCTTAGGCGAAAAATACTATTGTTGGAACTATCAAGATTTGATGAAAAATTAAAAAACACAATATGTAATCTAAAATTTGAAAAAGAGAAATCAAGAGCTTTTTTATCTCAAATGTAATGAATGATTCATGAATATGGGTGTTATAGGTGTAACGGAACACCTCTAGGAGGTTTAAGTATCAAAAGACACCTTTGGGATGTAGCCGGACAAGAACGGTCACATCAGGAAGCCAAAAGACGCCTTATGCTCACTAAATGTCGCGAGCTTCACGGGCCGCGATAAGCATCGCGATCGGCAGCCGAAAACTTGTCACCAGAGCTACTCTAAATCTCTCAAGTTTTATATTTCATATGGTCTTCATTAGGTCCTTTTATTGGGTTGTATACCAAAAGCTCGACTTTATTCATAAATGTATATCCAACATTTTTTCTTTTTTTTTTTTAATAAGAATCATGTTTAGTCAAAAGTGTTTATTCTATTATTTTACATTGTAAATATATGACAATATGATTAGATGTTTCGAACAGAAAATCATAATGTCAGTTCCTTGTAAAATATAAATTATGGTTTTCACAATCTAGATAAAATTGAACAAAGTATCGTGAAATTTTGTAGTGTAATTTTGATTAGTTTATCTTGGCTAATGAAATACACTAGTACATCTTAGATGTACTGAACGGACCACAGAGGATAACATCATTTTATATGGATCAAGTAAATAATCTAGACCTCAGTTATTACTCGTACTCTTAAGCTGTAAGATAATGAATGGTCGTATGCATTTAGTATCTATAACTTTGATTTAAAAAAAAAAAAGTGAGATCCAACTAGTAGGTTAATATAATGGGTGATTGAGTTTTAAATGGTAAATGCAGTATGTTACAGTAACTGTGTCCCGGTGAGTTAGTTTGATGACGTCTCCGCTCAAGATTTAATTGATTAAATTGGAGCCAAATGGGGAGAGAAATAATAATATTCTAGTGGGATATATTATTATTTTATTTTATTAGAATTTTAGGAACTAATTTTATTCCATATTTAATATTTCATAAGTTGAGGAATATTCCTTCTAGAATATTACCTAGGGTTAGGAGACTTGAGAGTCTTCTAGAAGGTGATGTTAGGAGGAAGGAATCATGACCTAGTTGGGATTAGCTTATGGAGTAGAATTAGCATTTCTTGGCCTAATGGGATAAGCCTATATTTGACACCTCCTTAAGGTCCCTAATGGAGCCTATAAATACACCATGTCCCAACCTCTTGTACAAGACTTGAGATGCTCGATTTTTCTTTATTCCTAAGAGAGAAAGATTGTCTTGATTAAGTGTTTGGGAGATTCAATTAATCGCACCACCAAAATTAATTGAAATAGGTGTTTAGGTAATCCATTAGAAGATTTTAAGGTGATATTTATCAAACCTTAAAAAATCCAAACATTCCGGCCAACCACCGCCGCCGACCGCCGCCGTCCTCC